ATGAACTAGAGACAACCATTTTAACAGGGGAAAACGAAATATGGAAGAAATCGACTATTGTCGGAACTAGGTACAATAGCAGCCAAAAAATAAAAGAACACTTAGCTAAAATTGAACAAAAATAACAATACTCCCAGAAAAGTTCTAGAAACCATACCAATTTTCACCTCCAAATTCCCGACAGTCTTCGACATCCGAAACATTTCCACTCTTCTCCGAATTCGCTGAATCCCGCATCAAGCGTGAGCCAATCGAGGAACATTCAGGAGTTAAGCGAGCTCTGCAACACTCGCCGTTATCAAGCCGGCGTCTCCGAAGATGCAAATAGGAAGAAGAAGAAAGCGGTGTAGGGCCGGAAGCAGCGGCAGATTGAGGGGAGGAGTTGTTGAGGCGCTGTAAGGCAAGGGTTTTAGCAGCTCTAGGACAGAGTCCCTGAGAGGACAGCATTGAGACTTCCATGAGAGCAATGTCGCCAGTAAGTTCGGATTTCTTCATGTACTTTCCCATGAATGTTAGAGAGTGAGAGTAGGGTTCTTGGGATCTCTCTCTTCCGTTCTCAATGAACAGAGCTCTGAGAGAGAGGGAGTTCGTAGGAAAGAGACGAGAGAGAGAGAGAGAGAAAGCGCGGGAAAAATTCCTAAATGTTAGGGTTGGGGATTGGGAGAACGGTTCCCCATTTATATATATATATATATATTTCGAAAATAAAATTAATTTAGTTTAAATTAAAAATTAATACATAAATATAATTTTTTTTAAGGTATAAATTTGGGTTGAATTATATTTAAATAAATTAAAATTTTATGAATTTAGTTCAACACAATCTCAACCAAATCAATTTATTATATTTTTATATTTTTATTTTTATTTAACTTTATACTTATTTTATTATTATTTATCCTCTAATTACTCCTAAAATAACTTTTATTCATCTATTAGTAAGATTTTTCAAAATATATAAATATTAATTAAATATTTAAAATTGTTTTACAAAATATTATTTTTACTTTAATTAAAAATAATATTTTGAATAAATGATTCAAATAATCCGAACAAATCCAACAACAATTTATATTTATTTGAAGGTTAAATTATAAATTTGATTCTCTAATTTTCTAAATCTAATTAGTGACGTCACCCATGTACGCAAAAACTCATCCTAAATAACCTCGTAAAAACACAACATAGTCTTTCATAAAGATTCTTAATCCAAAACAAACTTATCTCCAAAAATAAACCTTCAATAACTGAATTCAAAATAAATCTAGATAAAATAATTCTCACTATAACTTAAAACAGTCTAATAACGTAAACTCCAAAAAAAAATCCCCTCTCCAACTTTCATGGTGTCCTCAACTCCGCCGTCAACTGTACCTTGGCACCTTGCCTTTAACTGAAAAATGTAGGTAGCGCGTGGCTTGAGTATTTTATGAAATACTCAGTAAGTCACCCCACTGTTGGGTCAGACATGTAAACACATGCAACATATGAGCATGACTTAACTTTTCATAAACTTTACATGACCTTGGGCGATTTTCTATTCCGAGTAGGGTTGGATGTGTGGTACTCCTGCACACGCCGCTCATGTACGCATACATGGACCCACCAGGTGGACTCGTATACATACCCTAGGCCTGACTAAGTCAAGCACAACGTGTAAGGATTCAGATTTTTATTTTTTTTAGATTTTATGTTGAGATTTTATTTTGCTGCCAATGTAAGGATTCAGATTTTTATTTCTCTTACATTTTATGTGGGTGCGAAAATAAAAAGATATTAGGTATTTATTCTGGCTAGAAAAGATGCACGATTTCTGACCAAGAAGCTACTACCTTAATGGAAAAGTTATAAATAAAACATTTTATATTCCTATATTCAACTCTTCTCCTTCCTTAAAAACGACTTTTGCTCTCCAAACTTGTTTGTGTTATCAAGGGTATCTGAGAGTGTGGGGAAAATCGAGAGTGTTAGTCGGAAAAACGTGTGGGTTGGTTCACTGGTAGTTTCCTTGTTCGGCGAGTTCTCGAAACCGACTGTGTTGCTATTTTGGAGGAAGAGTCGAGTGGAAGTTAGTGTCGACGTCAGAATGGCTGCGTCGAAGAAGGCAAACCGTCGGAACGAAGGAGGAGGATGCCACGTATCGTCATCGGAAACGGAAGGGATTGCGTCGTCGACGGCAGCGACACATCAGATTAGGGTTTTCGTGAGGGTTCGGGTGAAGAAAACACAGAGTTGGGTTAGGTTTCGACCTTTGAACCGGCCCATGTGCGTTTCAGCCCAACACGGACGTGCGTTGCAGCCTTGGTCTCGACTTGGCTTGACGTGTACAGCGGCTCGGCTCCGTCAAAACCCACGGCTCGACTCTCTCAATTCCCGCAGCTCGGCTTGGCGGCTTAGTTGATCGACTCGGCAGCTCGGCTTACTGGCTCAATATCACTATAATATATTGATTTCAAGATTTTTGGCTCTTCCAAAGCCGTTTCTGCCCTAAGTCTTACCATGAGGTCAGTATGGTTCCTAACCATCAAAGACAGATTGTGTTGGGAGTTTATTTTTATAAATTGAATGAGATTTAGTTAGGGTATGCTATGAAAGGTTCCTAAATTTTTATGTGGTTATTATAGGACGTATTTAACGGTTGGGATTAGATTGTTGTGAGTGTCTTCGGCCAAGGCCATCGAGTTAAGTGATCTTACTGTTGAAGTTAGTTTACTACGTGTTGTATGATGGTGCATGCCCTGTGGCCCCATGCACCATGTTTAATTATGTGATATGACTATATGATGTATGAATTATGTAACTCTTTATGCTTTGAAAGGTAATGGGTTATGTTGACGGTTGACTGTTTATGTTATGTGAAGTTATGAATGATATGTTAGTAATATTTGCCATGAAAATGTTGATAGATATCATAGATACACATAGTATTATCGAGTCATGTCATGAGATGTTTATGCAACTGGAATGTACTTTCATGTTATGTAATATGCTATGTAAGGTAAGTCATGTGAGATGTCATGTAATGTAAGAACCGTATATGCGATGTTAGCACTGCTTATATAATGCCATGTTAGATATGTTAAGGGACTTCATGCATATATGTATGTCACGTGCATCGGGATTCTTTCCCTTTATGTTACGAAAGAATTAAATACGATATTTATGTTCGTCATGATATCATGCGGACCCTTTTTTGTTCTGTGGTGTTCGGCGACATGTAACACGTTGTGCCCGACCAAGCCAGGCCTAGGAGGTATGTATACGAGCCCAAGGCTATGTAAAATTTATGAAAAGTTAAGTCCCTCTCATATGTTGCATGTGCTTGCATTCCTAACTCCAACAGTTGGGTGACTTACTGAGTATTTCATATCTACATTTTTCAGGTAAAGGCAAGATGCCAATGTACGGTTGACGGCGTAGCTGAGGACACCATGGAAGTTGAAGAAGGGATATTTTTAGAAGTTTACCTTTATTACATTGTTGTAAGATGAAGCATTGAATATTGTTTTATTTAAATTTATTTTGAATTCAGTTATTGAAGGTTTATTTTTGGAGATAGGTCTGTTTAGATTTATGAATCTAAAAGACTTTGTTGTGTTTTTTTCAAGGTTATTTATGATAGCTCCCGCGTAATGAATTATGCATGCATTGGGTGACGTCACTAATAGGTTTAGGAAATTAGGGGCGTTACACAACGTGTTACACGTCGCTGGACACCACAAAACAGAAAAGGGCCCGCATGATATCATGACGAACATAAATATCGTAATTCAGCCCGCATGATATCATGACGAACATAAATATCGTAATTCATTCTTTCGTAGCATAAAGTGGAAGAATCCCGATGCACGTGACATACATATATGCATGAAGTTTCTTAAGATATCTAACATGGCAATACTTGCAGTGCTAACATCGCATATACGTTTCTTACATTACATGACATCTCACATGACTTACATTACATGAAATATTACATAACATGAAAGTACATTCCAGTTGCATAAACATCTCATGACATGACTCGATAATACTATGTGTATCCATGACATCGATCAACATTTTCATGACATATATTACTAACATATCATTCATAACTTCACATAACATAAACAGTCAACAGTCAACATAACCCATTACGTTTCATAGCATAAATAGTCACATAATTCATACATCATATAGTCATATCACATAGTAAAACATTGGTGCATGCATGGGCCACAGGGCACACTCCATCATACAACACATAGTAAACTAACTCCAACAGTAAGGTCACTTACCTCGATGGCCTTGGCCGAAGTCACTCACAACAAGCTAATTTCAATGGTTAAATACGTTCTATAATAATCACATAGAAACTTAGGAACCTTTCATAATATACCCTAGCTAAATTTCATACTATTTATCAAAATCAACTCCCAACACAATCTGTCTTTGATGGTTAGGAACCATACTGATCTTAGATGGTAAAACTAAGGGCAGAAACGGCTTCAAAACGACCGAAAACCTAGAAATCGATATATTATAGCAATACTGAGCCGATAAGTTGAGCCGCCGAGCCGACCAACTAAGTCGTCAAGCCGAGTCGCGGGAATTGACGGAGCCGAGGCGACGTACACGCCAAACTTGCCACGTTGCAATATTTTTTTTTTTATATAATTTAAACACGTGTTTATTAGGAAGACATTTCCACACTTTGGCAAGAAATGTTTTATTTACGAACGTGGGATTTCACAATCCACCCTAGTGTCCTCGGTGACATACGGCTCGGTGTTTGACTCAGATATCACTTGTAACCATTCAAGCCCATCGTTAGTAGATATTATCAGCTTTGACTCGTTATGTAGTGTCATAAGGCTCACCATTCTAAAATGAATCAACTATAAACAAGTTAAAGAAGTTTTCACGCTAATATTTGGTTTCTATCTACTGCTGATATAAGATTTGTTGACAGGCCAAAATATAATAATGGGTTCGATATGGTTCATTAATGTGAGGTAAGAATGGTTCAAACAAACTCTCCATTCCACATATTGAGCCATTCAATATATCGGTTTCTTCGCGGCTTCCACCATCGACGTGGTTTCTGATTGCCGATGGAAAGAAAAGTTCGACTCCTTTCTTCAATGGGTATCAATTTTCTTCTCCGTTTCTCCATTTCTCAGATCACTGCGATTCTTTCTTCTTCATAATCTGTTGATGTTTCTTTGTTTCTACGTTCTGGGATTTGATTAGTGCGTCTGCCTATCGTTTCATGGTTTATGATTAATATCTATGATTTTCAGTATACGCTTATGCCTTTAATTGGTTTAGTATGAGCTTTGAGATTTTCTTTCTTCCTGCGGTTGGTTGCTCTGCTTGTAGTGATTTTGAAAGTTGCACATGAAGTGTTTGATTTATTTACGCAATGAAATGAATTTGGGTTTCGTTCCTTTACTTGGATTCTTTTGAATACAACTCCTTGGCTTTTCAAAATTTCCTCGGGAAAGATGGCGATGGCTGACGTTTTAGTTTGTAAGAGCTAAGTTGATTGCTAGTAGATATTGTCTTCTTTAGGCTTTCCCTTTTAGGCTCCCCTCAAAGTTTCTAAAACGTATCTACTAGGGAGAGGTTTTCACACCCTTGTAAGGAATGTTTCGTTCTACTCTCTAACCAACCAATGTGGGATCTCACAATCCACCCCTTTGGGGGGCCTAGTGTCCTAACTGGCACATTGCTCGATGTCTGACTCTGATACCATTTGTAACCGCTCAAGTTTATTGCTAGTAAATACTGTCTTCTTCGGGCTTTCCCTCAAGGTTTTAAGACGAGTCTCGTCTTAAAACCTCGAGGGGAAGCCTAAAGAGGACAATATCTGCTAGCAGACTTCACCGCTAGCAGATATTGTCCTCTTTAGGTTTTTTCTTTCAGGCTTCCCTTCAAAGTTTTTAAAACACGTCTACTAGAGAGGGGTTTTCAGACTCTTATAAAAAAAGTTTCGTTCTCCTCTCCAACCAACGTGGGATCTTCTCTAATTTAACTCGGTAGATGTCTTTCTGTCCCATGTGTGGGACTTTGGCTCAAGCTCAATACCCATTGTACTCCTAAATTGCTTTGACAATTACCAACATGTAAATAATGAGTAATGTTGTTTGTGTTTACAACCTCACAATGCAAGGAGTCTCACAGAGTTGTATTGAATCTATACGACCTTAGTTGCGGATTGGCTCGACAGTTGGTACCCAATTAAAAGAGTAGTATGTGGTAAGTGCTGAACTTTGTTAAGATATTATGTTACTTGGTACCCAATTAAAAGAGTAGTATATGGATAAACTGAGACTACATCGAATTGAAAGTTTTTTTAAGGATATCAAATTATGGTTAGGAAATGTTTAAAAATATTGATAGTTATTGTAACGGCTCAAGTCCACCACTAGCAGATATTGTCCTCTTTGGTTGCCTTTCGAGCTTCCCCTCAAAGTTTTTAAAATGCGTCTACTAGGGAGAGGTTTCCACACCCTTATAAAGAATGCTTCATCTCCTCAACCAATATGGGATCTCACAGTCACTACTCATACTAAGCTGTACCATTCTTTTTTAGGTAGTTCAATTATATGAACTCTGAAGTTAAGCATGTTTAACTTGGAGGTATGTAAGATGTAATAGCCCAAGCCCACCGCTAGAAGATATTGTCCTCTTTCGGTTTTCCCTTTCGGATTTTCCCTCAAAGTTTTTAAAATGTGTCTGCTAAGGAGAGGTTTCCACATCCTTACAAAGAATGTTTCGTTCCCCTCTCCAACTGATGTGGGATATCACATAGGATGATCTCTTGAAAATTTCCCAAAACTCATGTGAGTGAGATAATACATGCTAAAATGACACGTGTTGGTTTGTGACTATAGTCTTCGCTCTTAAAAGTAGTTCAAGACAAGTAAGAACATAGTTATATTGAGAAGATGCATGAGAATTTTGGGACCATCAAATTCTAAATCTTGGTCTGAATCCTAAGAAATTTACATGTATATTTTGATGAGTTGATCTTATGAATCAAGTCTCCTTTCCGAAAAATCAATTTTTGGGGGAACTCCATAGCACTAGACAGTCTTTTCTTACTTGAACTGGTCTTAGGACAATGAACACTTACTTGTCTCTGCATTAGTAATGTCAATTTTTGTTGATGAAGTATAGCACGATATCGCTTTCTTGCAAATTTTTACTCCAAAGTCGACTTAAGCATAACTTAACTGGTTAAAGTATATATTCTTAACCAAGTGGTCAGACATTCAAATTCTCACAGGTTGAACTCTGAGTGGTTGATTCTCTTATGCATTTCAGCTGAAACTTACAGCTTGTTGGGTCACAATTGCAACAACTTTAGTAATGAGGTTGATCAGCCTTTGGTTGGCTCGACCATCCCTGAGTATATTCTTCAGCTTCCCAGCGAAGTTAGCAGCAGTCCCGTCGGTAGACTCCTGCGTAAGTCGGGATAGAGATAACAATCATAGATTCTTTTTAGTCGATACATCTATTATATTATTCGTGGTAATGTTCGTTGTATTGACCGTGTCGATGATTCAAAACCTCAAAACAATGTTAAGATCTGGGGTAGTTCTGAAAGTTCCACAGGTTAGGCATAAACAACCAACGACTTCGGCCGCGAATATCGGTCTTCGATTCTAATGTTGAAGAATCATCAGGCTGTGATGTTGGACCGCGCTGTCGTGGTGGTAGCAAGGCAACTAAAGGGCAGTCTGCTGGGCAAAAACAATGGAGGACTTGACACATCTGGCTATAAAACCTGCTGCAGGGGCAGGGCTGCAGAAGTTGCCTGGGATGACAATTGATAGAAAGTCTGTCCGGGGATGCTTGAGCCATGATATGAGACAGTATCTATGACAGCTCAAGCTTACCACTAGCAAATATTGTCCACTTTTGCCTGTTATGTATCACAGAACTAGAGTGTATGAAGTTATGAACATGACATCCTTCTCCCTCCAATGTCGCTCAAGAATGCAAGTAGTTAAAAAATTTTGAGAGGGAACATTATTGAGAAAACGGTTTACTGATAGTAAACATATTAAGCTCTCTGCAACTTTGTTTTTAATTTTCTAACACGAAAAACAAAAACGTTATCTAACATGAATCATTTCAATCATTTCAATTCATATAAATTCATGTTCAAAATTACTAAATATGAGATAATATTTATTTCTTATGAGAGTAAAAACCTCTCCCTAGGACATGCGTTTTAAAAACATTGAGGGAAAGTTCAAATAGAACCATATTTGCTAAAAGCAGGTTTGGACTGTTACAATGATATCAGAACAATATTTGGGGCTGTTACAATGATATCAGAGCTAGACATCGGGCAGTGTGCCCTCCTAAGGGGATTGTGAGATCCCACATCGGTTGGAGAGGGGAAAGAACATTCCTTATAAAGGGAAACCTCTCATGTTTTTTAACTTTAAAGGGAAGCCGGGAAAGCCCAAAAAGGATATTAGAATCATTTTAAAAATTTAGAGACCGAAATAAAAAGAATAGAAGGGTGCATTAGAAAATGAAAATAATAAAATAAAAATATTTATAAATAAATTTCATAGGGAAAAAATGAAAATAATAAAAATAAAAATAAAATAAAGAAAGAAAAATAACATTGGATGCTTTGAATGTATGTCTTATCAAATATTTGGATTATGACTTATGAGTTCGCATGCAATACACCAAATGATGAATACTCACTTTCTCTTTCACAATTTTTTTTTTCAAAAAAGAAAAATAAATAAATAAAAATAAAAATTTTGTGGAATTTCTTTTTTCTTTTTTTTTTTTAGAAAAAAAGAAAATAAATAAATAAATTTGTAGAATTATTGGTGTCCTAGTTGCTAAGTAATCCCTTGTTCATGATGCAATGTGTTTTTCAAAACATTATTTTCATTTTTCATGATAAATCATTTATATATATATATATATATATATTTGGCTAATTTGGTGGTTTTTTTAAAAGATTTTGATTTTTTTCTCTAAATTAATTAATAAGAATGGATTTGAATCGAGTACGTTCTCCTCCTAATTATGAATTTAGCAGGTGGGAGAAACGAACTTTATCGTGATCGAAAAAAATGGAGCCACTTACCAAGTTTGAGAGGCAGTCAGACCAACTTGGCCCTACTGATTTTTTTTTCGATCAGAGAATCGAAGTTTTAGGCCTCGAAAATTAGAATGGAATCTCGTGACCATTTGCTAGTCTTGGTCCAATGAAGTGTCGGAGTTTGGACACCCCCTTACGATAGTCTAGTGGCCTGGCTAGCTAAGAAGGTTCAACCCCCAACTCTAATGATTGGTTTACCTAGGTTAGAAATTAATAATTTTTTGAATAACAGGGAATAAACTGTTACAGATCATTTTCGAGTTATTTTTTATAAGGAGATCATTGATGACGGGTCTTGTTCTACTGAAAATATGTGGCAATTTCATCCCGTTTGAACATTCTTCACAAGATAAGACGGTTGAAAAATATTAGCCGTGACTCGGTTTTTCACTTAAGGCTTCAAATTCTCCTAATAGAGTTTTCACGCTCGGGTTTAGATTGTAAGGTCTTGTACACATGGCTATAATTTTAAGAACTTTTCTGAATGTTCCAAGGCACTCGTTCGAGAAACGAAAAATGTCTATATATACATACATATACATATACATATACATATACATATACATAGTCCATACATGCATGTCCAACATACATTTAAAAGACTTTGTCTTAAGCTGAAAGTTATTTTTGTTTTGATGTGGTGGTGGAAGAGATATGATATGAATTATAAGGGTATGGGTCCAAAAATAATGATCCCTAGAGAGACCCTACTTAGGGCTGGTGGGCAATCATATTCTATATGCTTTTTAATAATTATATTCTCGCTTTTCATTTCCAACCCTAAAAAAAACCCTAACTTTTTTTTTACGAGCAGATGAAATTGTAAAAATAATCAAAATATTTACGAGTTATAACACATCACTCACGTTACTTACAAACATTAAATATTCTTAATTTTTTTAAAAAGCAAGGTAAGGTTGGATTGTTGTAACCGTCCAAGTTCCGTTTTCTCCTCAGCTTCACTGTTTTAAAACGTGTTTACTAGGGAGAGGTTTCCACACCTTTATAAGAAATGTATTGTTCACTCTCTAACCGATGTGGGATCTTATAATCCATCCCCTTGGAGACCCAACATTCTCACTAACATACTGCCCGATGTCTAGCTCTGGTACCATTTGTAACAGTCCAAATGCACCTCTAGTAGATATTTTTCACTTTGACCCATTACGTATCATCGTCAATCTCAGGATTTTAGAACATGTCTACTAGGAGCTCTAATGTATTCGAATTAATCATTTGATTTATATTTTATCTATTGAATTATGTTGGGTGGACAAAAAAAAAAAACATATTATAAAGATTTATTAGATAATTATGAAAATTTAGGAATTTATATGAATTTTTTTAAATTTTAAAACAACCCGAACCGGTTAGATTCAATTTTGATAGTTTATTTTTATAAAAATAATTTAAAATTACATTAATTTATATATGTAGTTGATTGAATTACGAGTTTAGTTTCTAAATTTTGAGTTTTATGTCTATTTTGGTAAAAAGAGTAAATCCTAATTTTTATGTATATCAAAGGTTAGACGATGTATGTTCGAGTAATTAACTAAGGTCTCTTGATTTCGTGCCGAGTATTTTTAATATTCACCTGTTTTAAAAATGTTTTTTTATGTAAAGTCAGTGACATGGAAGGAGTCCGGTGTTAGGTTTTATTATTCCCGAAGTGGGATGTTTTTTTCTTTGTTTTAGAGTCTATTTGGCCCCGAAACTTTTAAAATTATTTTTTAGTTCGTTATCAAAAAAAAAAAAAAATTAAATTTTTAAAAATTAATAGATGTGAATATAAAATTGAATTAGATGCCTTATGAGGATTAACTCCTTCTTTCACAATGTGTTGAACAGGAAAATTAAATTGCCTTAGTTCTAAAACAACTAATAAATATTAAATAAAATTAACATTAAACGAACTAAGGCAATTCACGTATAAATATATTCTCAAAATTCAAATAACTTAAAAGGGGAAAACTAATTAAATAATAATATTTTTAATTCACGTTTTATTATTATTATTATTATTTTCTTTTTAAAAAAATACAAATTGATCTTAAATTCCATAAAAATTTCTTTATTTGTGAGATTGATGTTGCCAATTATTCAATAATTACAATATATAATTAACCACCAAAATTACAACCACAAATAATAACTCTTAACTATCAAATCAAAGATTGCCTTTTCATTTTCCAAAATATGCATAATTAAATAATTTAAATTTAAAAATAACTTAGGTGTCTTTTATTTAAAAAATAAAATAAAATAAAATCATATATATATAATTTCGAAAATTACAATAATACCCTTTAACTTTTTATAAGTATTTCAAAATTATTATGACTAAAAATCTAGAATAAATTTGGCAGGTAACATGAATAATATAATTAAGTTCTAATCTTTAATTATTATTTCAGGTCACCGACACATATTTTAATTCTTCATTTTTGTGTAAGGGTAGTTTTGGAATATTAAAAAAAATGATAATTGTGGATTACTTTTTTATAATTTATAATTTAGCAAATAATGATAAAATAAATGGTATAATAATTTTGGGGTGTGCATGGTAATAAGTAAAAGATTGAGGGCATAAGTGAAATTTTGAAATTATTGATTGAGAAGAGAAAGAAAAAGATTTAAACTTTTACCGTTCATAAAGGGTGAAGGAGGAGAAGACTTGGAAAAATGAGATCATAATTTGTCAAACGAAATAACGACTTTTTCCCGCTCTTTTATTATTCTTTTTGATTCCTTGATCGCACAGTTTGGAATGGATTTTTGACTTTTTTGTTGGTTCAAAGATTGCAGATTTTCTTGCCCCTTTATCGCGCTTGTTTGCCTGCTCAAACAGGGCACAAATGATCACAGAGGAAAAAAGAAAGAAACCCAAAAAGAAGCCACAAAATTAGTGAATCTAGCAAGGTTTGATGGGATTGCAAACAATTTGTGGCGTGCTAATCAAAGGTATGACCCACCAATAAGGCCCCATTGGAAAGGAAGATTGTAATCTAGTGATTTGCAACAATGCACTCAACCTGTTCGACGAAAGTCGCCAAAGAACTTCTCGACCTTTCCTCAACTGGATCTCTGTCTCTGTTTATGTCTCTTTACACCCTTTGTTTCCTAAGTTCTCCCTTGGCTCGCTTCCTCTGAATGGACCGAAGCGACATGCTGCAGCTCCAGCTCCAGCAACAGTTGTCTCTTGCTAAGTCTGTGCGCCACCGCTGCAACGAATGGTTTGTTTGTTTGTTTGTTTGTTTGTTCTTTGATTGTCTTTTGGTCTGTGTAGTTTTCAGCTAGCTCTTGAGTACATGTTAATTTGGATTTTGTGTAGTTTTGTGTACTACTTAACTTGGGTCGTTGGTTATATGCTATAAGCTATGGTGTAATGCTGCCATTTTGGTCATTGTTCTTTTGTACTTTCTGCTATTCTAACCCAGCAAGATCTCTGCTGTTTTGTTATTGGGGTGCTTCTTACCTGGTCTAGATAGTTTGTATTAATAGTCACTTGAATTTTCAGCTGGGTCTTGTTGTTTTCGATTGAAGTTTTTATCTATAGTTAGTGTTAGACTTTTTTTTTTTTTTTTGGGGCTTATTTTTCTTGTATGCTTGTATATTCTTTTATTTCTCTCAATGAAAGCGTGCTTAAAAAAAGTCATCCCTCATATTTGAATGTTCTGAAGAGTCAACGTCGTCGTGCTGGTTTTCGCTCAAGTTGGAGCTTTTCTATGCAAGCCAATTATGTCTTGTGAGATCCCACATCGGTTGGGGAGGAGAATGAAACATCCTTTATAAGGGTGTGGAAACCTCTCCCTAGTATACGTGTTTTAAAAACCTTGAGAGGAAGCTAAAAAAAAACAATATCTACTAGCGATAGGCTTGGGCCGTTACAAATGGTAGCAGACAAACACTGGGTGACGTGCCAGCAAGGAGGATGAGCCCCAAAGGGGGATGGACACGAAGTGGTGTACCAGCTAGGACGCTGGGCCTCGAAGGGGGGTGGATTGTGAGATCCCACATCGGTTGGGGAGGAGAACGAAACATTTTTTATAAGGGTGTGGAAATCTCTTCCTAGCAAACACATTTTAAAAACCTTGAGGGGAAACTTGAAAGAGAAAGTCCAAAGAGAACAATATCGGCTAGTAGTGGACTTGGGCCATTACATGTCCAATTTAGAATTTATTTATGGTACGTCAATTGATGTCTTGTTTGGCACTGATTTGTGTGTTCCGAAATGATTTAGACGCTCTGCTTTTATCGACTGTCATCTTAAGAGTTGGTTTATTGGTTACATGTTTACCATATTGAAATTCTAGATTTATTTTGGCTACACAATGCTTTCTACCTTTTGTTCTCTGTATGGTGGGCTGCATATTGATGGAATCTGCGTGAATTCTCTTTTAGTTTGTAAATGGCATAGACAATTCCATTAGATTTTGAAGTATCTCCAAATCCATTTATTGCAAAACAAAGAGCTAGATCTCTCTCTCTCTTTCTCTCTCTCTCTCTCTCTGTGGCTGTTTTCTTCTTGGCAAAGTTTTTGAAGTTGTAGTCTAAATTTGGATACCTTTGTTTGTGAATAATTGGCTATTGATTTGTGTAGGATTTTCCGCGATGTTCCTAGCGATATTACAATAGAAGTGGCTGGAGTTACATTCTCCTTGCATAAGGTAACACTAACCACTTGAATTATGTAGTTTCCCATTGTGTTTAGTTAGGAACCATCCCTCTCTACAATGGTATGATGTTTTCCACTTTGAGCACAAACGCTCATAACTTTGCTTTTGGCTTCCCCAAAAGACCTCGTACCAATGGAGATAGTGTTCCTTCCTTATAAGCCCATGATCATTCCCTAAATTAGCCAACGTGGGACTCCCTCCCGACAATCCTCTTCTTGAACAAAGTACACTATAGAGCCTCCCCTGAGACCTATGGAGCCCTCGAACAATCTCTCTTTAAATCGAGACTCGACTCCTTCTTTGGAGTCCTCGAACAAGTACACCATTTATTCGACACTTGAGTCACTTTTGACTACACTTTCGAGGATTCTATTGACATGAACCAAGACTCGCCACAATGGTATAATATTGTCCACTTTGAGCGTAAGCTCTTGTGACTTTGCTTTGGGTTTCTCCAAAAGTCCTCATGCCAATAGAGATAGTGTTCCTTCCTTATAAATCCATGTTCATTTCCTAAATTAGCCAATGTGGGACTCCCTCCCAACAATCCTCCCAACATGTTTTTCTGAATAATACCTACCTAATGCGTTCTCATCCTGCAAACATGAACTTGTAGAGACAAAGCATTAATGTATATAGAGGAAATCCATTAGAGTTCTGGACTGAACATATATTTTGCCTATGCTATAGCTGAAATCTATAGTTCCTAATGAATGACTGGTTTAACTCAACTACTGAATGCAGTTCCCTCTCGTCTCTCGAAGTGGGCGGATTCGAAGGTTAGTTGCAGAACATAGGGATTCCGACATCTCGAAGGTGGAGCTTCTTAATCTACCAGGAGGTGCTGAATCTTTTGAGCTAGCAGCAAAATTCTGTTATGGGATCAACTTCGAAATTACTCCAGGAAATGTTGCTCAGCTATGTTGTGCATCTGATTATCTTGAAATGAGTGAAGAATTCTCGAAGGATAATCTTGGTTCTCGAGCTGAAGAATATCTCGAGAGCATTGTCTCGAAGAACCTTGAAATGTGTGTTGAAGTGTTGCAACAATGTGAGAATCTACTCCCTTTAGCTGATGAGCTGAAAGTAGTTAGCCGCTGCATTGATGCAATAGCATCAAAAGCTTGTACAGAGCAAATTGCTTCGAGCTTCTCACGCTTGGAGTATAGCAGTTCAGGGAGACTTCACATGAGCAAGCAGGCCACGTGTGATAGCGACTGGTGGATCGAGGATATCTCTGTTCTTCGTGTCGACTTGTATGAACGAGTCATTACTGCCATGAAGTGTCGAGGGGTTCGTCCCGAGAGCATAGGTGCATCCTTGGTGAATTATGCTCAAAGAGAGTTAACAAAGAAATCCAGTTTATGGAACCCATCTGGCCAGACAAAGGTCGATTTCGTTACGAGTTCATACGGGCAAGAAAAACTTGTTGTTGAAACAATAGTTAGCCTTTTTCCAGTTGAAAAATTGGCTATTCCAATCAGTTTCCTTTTTGGGCTTCTGAGGAGTGCTGTGATGCTTGATTGCTCTGTTGCTTGCAGACTTGACCTCGAGAGAAGGATAGGATCTCAGTTGGATATAGCTACCCTTGATGATCTTCTGATTCCATCCTTCAAACATTCTGCTGATACTTTATTTGATGTTGACACGGTCCACAGGATCTTGGTAAACTTCTCCCAACAAGACGATAGCGAGGACGATATGGAAGACACCTCCGTTTTTGAATCGGATAGTCCTCGTTCGCCATCTCAAAGTGCATTGTTTAAAGTATCCAAATTAGTTGACAACTACCTTGCTGAAATTGCCCCGGATGCGAACCTCAAGCTTTCGAAGTTCATGGTAATTGCAGATTCCTTACCTTCACATGCACGCACCGTCCACGATGGATTATATCGAGCCATTGATATCTATCTTAAAGTACGTATGTGCTCCTTTTTTCACGACCTAAGTTTGAGTTCATGTTCTATTTTCTTATAGTTACTTGGTGATCCTTTACCAGTCAAGGAACGAGATTATAGTTGAACCTCGTAAACTGATTGTTCTTCATTTCTTCATGATTTCAGTTTTTCACATGGTGCACCAGGTTCTATAATTGTGTCTTTTGATGTTTTCATTGCCACAGGCTCATCAAGGTCTATCAGATTTAGACAAGAAGAAGCTCTGCAAGCTAATAGATTTTCAGAAGCTCTCGCAGGAGGCTGGAGCTCATGCTGCTCAAAACGAGCGCCTTCCCCTCCAATGCATGGTTCAAGTCCTTTATTTCGAGCAACTAAGGCTTCGTAACGCATTGTCGAATTCTTGTGGCGACGAAGACTACAAACCTTCACATCAATCATGGAGGATTAGCAGTGGTGCATTGAGTGCAGCGATGTCTCCACGAGACAATTATGCATCACTGAGACGAGAAAATCGGGAGCTAAAACTTGAACTGGCTCGACTACGGATGAGATTGAATGATCTCGAAAAAGAACATGTTTGTATGAGGAGGGATATGCAAAAGTCCAGTTCTCGTAAATTTATGAATTCGTTCTCGAGGAAATTTAGTAAAATGAGCTTCTTTGGGAATAGCTCTTCAAAGGGTTCGAGTTCGCCATCGAAACATTCACTGAGGACAGATTCCAAAGTGATTGAAAGAACATGTACAAGTGCAGAATAGTTCCAATTTACATCACTCAGAGCAATGCAGAGCCTCTTTTCTTTGTTAAGTAAATGTAAGTTTTCCCTTTTTCCCCCTCTTTCGTTCGAGAATGGTTCAGTCTATTTGTAACCTGTAAATGATTAGTATTGCCAAGAGTTCTTTATCGATGATGTTTTTGTTAACCAAATCTCAATAGTATTGAATGTTACGGACCGACCAACTTTCATTTCTCTTTCTTGTTATCGTGGAATTCGTCATCAGCCCTTATACAATCAACGAACTCATACTAATGTTAGGACTTTTCAGAAGCAAAAAAAGTATGTATTTATATGGGGTGCCGGTGAATGGAAGTTGAATCATTTTGTTAGGTTTCAATGAGGGGAGATTGGGTCACGCGACAAAACTAAAGTCTTTGTTTGTATTCGTTTGTCAAATCTTGTTTAGTTCCAATCATGGAATCATGCTCTATAGGACAATAATGTGTTGAATAGCACAATTTCAATATCAAGTAAGAGTGTAAAACACCTTTCACCAAAAGACTGTGAGTTTGGTGCGGACTGCATTTCCCGAGTTGGAAAGCCTGCATGTGCAAGCTAATCCGGGTTGGGTCCCTTACTGCATTTATGGCAATCATCACTAGTTTCTCTCTCATTTCTTCTTTCAAAAGACTATCCTTTGAGTAAATGCTCAGAATGCCATTGTTTAGAACGTTTCTTATTGGTATAAATGACTATTTTTGACAAATCATAGCCTAGGAACCAATCACTAGATTTCACTTTTTGACTAACATTTCAATAATCCATAAAAGGAAGATAATAAAAACAACTATGTTCCATTCGCGAAGACAAATCTGGCCTAAAAACCAAAAGCCACTGGACGGATCACTAACTTCAACGTTTAAGTCGTTTTGGTATAGATATGGATGCCAAAAGCCAAACCCAGAATTACCAGGGGAGCTAGAAACTGGAGTACCTTGATAATGAATTCCACTGTCTTGTCTTGGTTGTATAGGGGCTGCTTAGGAGGAATGTACTCTCCTTTTGCAGGAATAATCGAGCTATCGATATCGCCTACGTAAAATTCTTCCATCATTGCACTAGCAGCGCTGCTGTGCCCGACGTCGAGAAAATCATTGGTTGCATCCTTACCTGTAAATAACAAGCCCTCAAACATTATGATCCGTTCATTTAACAAATGTTATTAGGAGCATATTGCAATGAAAAAGTATCGTCGTTTGTTGTTCCCTACCAGTGCTTGACAACAAGACTTCATCACCACCAGGATGGTCTTCGAGGAATTTTGTCACATCATATACCTATTGGATTAAGGCAAATGAATAAAATGAAAGTGATACCAAGCACAACATAATCAGTAACATAAATGATATCTTTTCTGAAGCGAAATAGTCATTCATATTGCTCCATAGTTGTCTCGCAAACAATATGCAGGTAAGAAACATAGACACAGATAAGACACTGTAGAAACACGATCAAATGTCATTTTAAAAAAAATCAAAGACAACTATGACAAACACTCAGTTTAATAAGATATACACTTTTTAAAATATATATTATGTTTATACTAGAAGGAAATCCAAAGTTGTTCAACATGTGTTTAACAAATATTGGAGTTATATTGAATTTGCAACTAGTAGAGAATAGGTTTTAATTCTCACGTTGCGATAAAAGAAGTGGCGACCCTAACATGGCACCAAATGGTCACACGAGCGCCTAGACGTATACCATGATGCGACCAAGGAGGACGGTGTGCCATCTAACACACCATACATAGTAGACATTGAAGAGAAGACGAGGAATAAGCAAGATATGAGCAACAAGTAGATAGAGTGTCAAAGATAGGCTTGTTGAAGAGTTGAGTAGGACCCTAGGCCTTAACCTCGAAAGTCAAGATTCCGAAGGGAATTTGGGCATGCGGTTTTGGAGTTAAGTCCGTCCATATGAAACATGAATGCTCGCCAAATTTGGTGTCAATCGAACATCGGACAGACGATCCACAACACCATATGTTTGTTCACCAAAATCATGTCTATACTCACTCGTTAGGAAATGTCTTAAAATATACTATAGGGGAGGCATGGTGTCGTCTCCACATTACCCCTGAGCCTTGTAGCCTAGGCGAGCTACCCTGTGGCACATGTGTGTCACAATGAAAGCAAGCGTTCCGAGACGAGTGTCTAAAACGATTTCCTTTGAAATGGGTTTTTCAAAGATAGTACCGAGCAGCACGGGTGTGCCGGTATTACACCTCTGCCCATGTGTCGAAAATTGGATTTTGCACCCGCTATCCGATACAATATCCGTAAAGGACAACTCTAAGAAACCCTATTCACTACCTAACATATTAACCTATTTATTCTAGGATTTTCGTAATTATTAAGCTTTGGTCACTTGGTTTATCCTGTGACTTCCATTTGGTTCTCTATCATATTAACGCATTACTTTTTTTTTTGTTTTCATTTCGACTAAATTAATTTAGCCTGTGACTAACTTTAAAAAAAACTATGTAATAGGTTTAAAAAAACCTATGTAATAGGTAACTTTTTTGAGTTTATCAGAGCCATTTAACTTAGTGTATATATTTTAATCGGTTAAATTATACTCTATTTAACTATTTATTTTTGGGTCTAATAAGATTTACCTATCACACAAAAATGGTCTGAGATAAGATCAAAAGATTAAGGTTCGACTGAAATTCAATTTTATGCCTATATTACATATATGTAAAAAACAAAAATGTAATAGAGGCAAAATTGAAAGTTGAGAGTTCTAACTAGCAATTAAAGTTTTTAGAGACCTATCAAATAAAAACGACCTTAAACTTTTTCTAGCCCATAAAATTCAGTACAAATTTAGCGTCTACAAACACCAAAGTAAGATTCACGAGCCCAATTCAGTCTCATACAGAACACAGAACAGTAATCCCTTTCATCAAATTCAATCAATCAAAAGAAAGCATACCCAGTGAACCGTGAACCATATAAATTAGAAACAAGAAAAGAATCATACAAAGGAAAGCAAAAGCCAGAAACCCATCAAACAGAAAATAAGAGCCGAGTCATGTAAAGAATTTAAAGTCACATTGAGTCACACAGACAAATGAACACATACCTTATCCTCAATGATCAACCAGCAGTCGTTGCGGTTGTCGTGGGAGGCAACCTCAGCCAAAGTGAACACCGTGCGGCCGTCCATGGTCGCAGCTTGGAAGAGAGTTGTGTAATCTGGGAGGCAAATCTTTCTTGTTCTGCAGCAAAAGGGGCGGCGGTGAATTTAAAGGTTTTTAAGGGTAGTGGGAAATGGGGTTGGTGAGACAATGAATCCAAAGATTTCTTTGATTTTATTTCCTAATGAGCGTTGGACAGGTGAGGCTCATGCAATGCCATCTCATACCAACCTTTCTTCTTCAATTTTTCTTGTCACTCAGACCAGAAAAGTCAAAAGAATATATTTTTTGGGAAAATACCTTTTTTGTCATCGAATTCTTCCAATATACTTTTGATTCTATACAAAAACAAGTTCCTAATATTGGAATATTTTTCAATTTTGTTTCTAATATCTTCCAAGTTTACATTTTTCCCATAAATTCTAAAAGAATGACCATTTTAATGAATTTTAAATTGTATCAATTTATAGCATATTACATTTTAATTCATGAATCTAATATAACAAATTTAATAATTAAGGTTATCTAAGCTATAAGTTTTTTTTCGTGTTATTTAATTTATGGAGGATTACTAAGTTTATATTAGCAACTACGAGCCTATTTTGAAATTATTTTGTAAGACTATTTTAGTTTGAGTGTTCTTCAAAGATACCTTTTGTTTTAAGCGTTTTTTTTTTAATATTAGGAAATGGTTTAGATTTTAAGAGCACTATTCTATTCGAGTATATTTTCATGAAGTGTTTTTATATACATGTTATTTTGATTTATTCGGACTCAAAATGCTTAAATTAATTTCAAAGTGATCAAAATAATTACCCAACTTTTAAAAGTTTCAATAATATATTTAAATTTTTAAAAATACCCTTAAACTTTGAAAGTAAATTTCAAAAATATCAACATTAATTTTAGATGAAAAGTTAATATTTTACTTTAAGATACCATTGAACATTAAAAAAGGTTTCAAAAATATCATTTAGCCTTAAGAAATGTTTCAAAAATACCTTGAAACTATCATTAGTTTCATTAATACATTTAAACTTTTTTAAAACTTCAAAAGATACCATTGAACTTTTTGACAAGTTCAAAAATACTTTACTCTTAGTACCACGTTTCAAAAAATACTCATAAACTTTCAAAAACAACATTAAAAATTTGTAGATAACCTAAGGTGTCAATAGATAGTTTTCTTCCATAATATCGACTTCTTATAAATGTAAAGTGTGTTAATATAACTTCTAAAATTTCTAAAATTTCATAGGTAGGTTTTAAAAATAGTACTAAACATAAAAGTATTTTTAATGAAATTATAGTTTCCATAATATATATATAATTAGAAAAAAAAATAATAGTAATAATAATTGTAACCCTACTTTTTGAGATTTTTTTTTTAAATTTAATGATATTATTGAAAAAAAAAATAAACAAAATACAAATTTTATGGGGTTTTTTCTTTTTTTGTATGGAATTTATCAACAAACAAAAAAAAAAAAAAAAAAAAAAAAAAAAAAAAAAAAAAAAAATTTTT